GGTGCCGATACATGGCGAGTCACCTTCGCTCGCTGACATGGCACGCACGTGCGAGCCCAGGCACGGCAATCCGCGTTCATGGATGGCCATACGAAACGCTGGGCTACGAGTTTGGTCGTCGCCCTAATTCCCGGATGCGCCAGGTTGTGTATTATATCGAAAGCGGCTCGTCGGAATGGCCTTGTCAGAAAAGGTCGTGGCGTTGCTGTACCTGTGTCACAGTATACCGCTGTTCCTGTTCCCGGAATCTCGATTTTCCTGAGCTGCAATCCGGATTCTCGTTGTAGGTATTTCTTGAGCTCCTCGTCGTTTTCCTGCCGTGCAGTATACCAGTGCCATGCCGGCACTGGCAGTCCGACACTGCCAGTGCCGTATAATCCATAGGGGATTGGAGCCCCTCGATCCTCGACAATGCATCCGCTACCACATTTTCGTCGCCAGACACGTGTCTAATATCGGTCGTGAACTGGCCGACGAAATCTAAGTGCCGAAATTGACGCGGCGTACATTTTTCCGGTTTCTGCCGAAACGCGTAAATAAGCGGCTTGTGATCCGTGTAAACCGTGAGATTCCGGGCTTCCACCATGTGTCGGAAGTATTTTATAGCGAGATATATAGCCAAGAGCTCTCTATCAAATGCGCTATATTTCGCCTCGGTCGGACTTAATTTTTTGGAATAAAATGCCAGCGGTTCCTAGTCGTCTCCATTCCGCTGCTGTAACGCGGCTCCGACGCTATGATCAGACGCGTCGGTAAAAAGCGCTAATTCCGCGTCGCTCCTCGGATGTGCTAGGAGTGTGGCCTGCGCTAGCTTTTCTCGCGACGCCTCGAACGCGCGCTCCGCTTGCGGTGTCCAGGTTATCGGAGCCTTTCCCTTCATGTTATTACGAAGGAGATCGTTTAGCGGTGCCAGTGTCTCAGCGGCCCCCGGCAAAAATCTTCTATAAAAATTCAGCATGCCAAGATATCGGCGGAGATCCCTGGCAGTCTTCGGCATCTGATAGTCGCGGATCACTTGCACTCGCGCGGGCAACGGTCGTGTTCCCTCGCCGGTTATCAAGTATCCGAGGAACTCGACTTCTTCCTTTCCGAACACGCATTTCGCCGGATTAATGACGACACCGTACGTCTGCAACCGCTCGAACACCGTACGAAGATGCTCGAGATGTTCCTCGACTGACGATGACGCGATAAGGATGTCGTCGATGTACGCGAAACAAAAATCGAGGTCGCGAAGAACTTCGTCGATAAACCGCTGGAATGTTTGCGCCGCGTTCCGCAAACCGAAAGACATCGACGGGAACTCGAACATTCCAAACGGCGTCGTAATCGCTGTTTTCGGGATATCCTCCTCCGCGACGGGAATCTGATGATATGCCCGAATTAAATCGATGGTGGTGAAAAGTTTCTTTCCTTGCAGGGCCTGCGCGAAGTCTTCTATGTGCCGCACCGGATAACAATCCGGGACTGTTCGCGCGTTAAGGGCTCGATAGTCGCCGCACGGTCGTAGTTCTGCGTCTTTTTTGGGCACTAAATGCAAGGGTGATGACCAACAACTTTTTGATGGTCTTGCAATTCCGAGATCCACCATTCTCTCGAATTCCCTCTTTGCGGCTGCCAAACGCTCCGGCGCGAGTCTTCGCGGTCTACAAATCACCGACGGTCCTGGCGTGGTTTTTATGTAATGTCGCGTATCGTGCCTGACCTCCTTCGGGCGACTCTCCGGTCTTGTAATTTCCGGATATCGTGCCAACAATTCGTGAAATGGCGTTGTACCGGCGACCGTTTTCACGCTGGGCACGTCGCACCGCACGCAACGACCTCGTGCCACGAGACTCGTCAGTTGATCGAGCCGACGATTTCGGAAATCCACCAGCAATCCGTAATGCACGAGAAAGTCTGCCCCAATAATGGGCTTTGCCACGTCCGCGATCACAAACCGCCACACAAACGCGCGTCGGAGTCCGAGGTTTAGTGTAAGAGTTTCTGTTCCGTATGTATGAATCACGGTGTCATTTGCTGCGGATAATTCGTAGGACGATCTCTGTCGTGGCCCGCGAACCATCCTCCGGGGATACACGCAGAGATCCGCACCCGTGTCGATAAGAAAATTAATTTTTGTATCTATGTCCGTCACGAAAAGGCGACGCGTTTGATGGCCTCCGTCTTCCGTCGCCATCAACGAAGGGCCGTCGCACCGAGTACCAAATACGACTCTGGACCAAATCGCCAATGGTACCAGCACAGGCCGTTCGACGGGTGACCACGGCTCCGTGAACGCGAACGTGGACGCTGACGCGGTCGACGATCGTCCCGGCGACGATCTTTCCCATAACGATTTTCGTCATGTCGCGTGTCATGCAACGCCTCGATCGATTTTCGAATCGCTGCCAGC